TATATATAACATGGGGATGTACCAATACCGACACTAGTATCGGTGCCAATACCAAGTATTTGGGCAAGTACTCTTACTCACCCAAATGCTCCGATATATACCCCGATAGTGGAACTTCCGGTCAGAGGGAGATCTCCCTCTGACCAGCAGGGCCGCGAGGGAGCATGGAGCAGACTCCATAGCCAATCAGAAAGCTGGGTGGCACGTCATGACCTGCCTCCCAGTTTTCTGATTGGTCAGGAAGCCAGGCTGCCTAGCAATAAGGAAGCCAATCTGGAAGCCAAGCAGCACGTCATGACCCATCTACCGGCTTCCTGATTGGCTAGGAAGCTGGCTTTACTTGATGCTAGACAGCCTGGCTTCCTAACCAATCAGGAAGCCAGGTGACACGTCATGACCTACCTAGCAGCTTCCTAAAGCCAGGCTGCCACGCAGTGTCGCAAGGGAAGTGAAGCCGGTGCTCTTTCGATAGAAAGACCCATCTACCGGCTTCCTGATTGGTCAGGAAGCCAGGCTGCCTAGAAACAAGTGAAGTTGGCTTCCTAGGTAATCAGGAAGCTGGGTAGCGGGTCATGACCCACTTCCCAGCTTCCTGAAAATCTGGGTCTATGGATGCCAGTATCAGTATTTGATATCAGCAAGTACCGATATCGGTACTTGATACAGAAAAACCAGTATTGGTGCATCCCCAATATAAAATATAATAAACTGGGACAGAAACTCTCAAACAAAGAACTTGGTATATACAGTGAAGTGTAGTAAGGAGTGCAAAGACCTGTACATTGGGGAGACAAACAAATAAATGGCCCAACATGGGAGGGCAGATTCTACAGGTCAAGACTCAGCAGTCTTCCTACATCTTAAGAAAAATTAAAAATAAACTGCTTTTTCAGATGTGCGATGTGTGTATTAATTCTGATTTGCTGCGTTTGTTTCAGAAGAGCTGCGCCATCGGCAGAGTTCTCGGTGGACAGGACTCGTCATCTCATGTCTTTCCTGACTATGCTCGGTCCAAGCCCAGACTGGAACGTTGGACTCTCTGCAGAGGATCTTTGTACAAAGGAGTGTGGCTGGGTCCAGAGAGTGGTCCAGGATCTCATCCCCTGGGATGCCGGCACTGACAGTGGAGTCACGTATGAGGTACAGACACATTAGTGAATAAAACAAAGTTTTTTTTTTCCCTTTGATCTACTGTTCTTGCAGCCATAGCCATAGCAAAAAAAATATGGCTGTTCCTGCCAGCATGCTGAAAAGGAACCATTGTGCTGTGTGAAAGCAACACCCTCTTTATTGTGGACTGACTCAGTGGTAGAGCTTTCCAATCAGCACAGTGCATTAACTTTGTTGACTGGAGAGCTCTAGCTCTGACCCAACAGGGGAGGTGTTGGCCCTCTTTTCTCATATAGAGAACTGCAGTCCTTCTCTGCAGCACGCTGGTGGCGGAGAGGCTATAGCTGTGTCCTCTATATCAACTAAACCGATGATAATACTGTAATCTATGGGTAACTATGGTCAAAACCTAAAAATAAATATGTATTTCTCTATTGAATTTCCATAAGTTCTATCCCACTCCCAATAACCATATCCATCTAGAAGTTTTTAAACGTACTTATTGAAGGCGCCCATAGGATGGACTTCCTCAATGCACTGACACAAATTCCCTCATCCCAGTGAACAGGGCCTTCCCTATAATAAGGCAGCCTGGGGCCCAGGTGGCATCTCTTTAAGTCACATGGGGGTGGGGGGCATCAGGCAGAGCGGCACAATGTTGTGCCTGCCACCCCCTTTCTGGCAGGATCATCCCAGGTTGCTAGGAGCTGGGTGGGAAGATGTGTAAGGGCCATGCCCCTGAGAGGCTCTGGCCGGCGTGCTACCCAGGTCCTGGCAACCACTGACTTCAGTGAGCTGGGCGGGACGCTGACCAGAGCCAGTGAGATGGATCAGCCCCTTCCTTTAGCATGTAACACCAGCCAACTCCTTCTCCCCAAGGTGCACCGCCCGGACTCAGGTTCCTTCTGCCACCACTCTAACTAGGGCTGCAATAACTAATCGATTAAATAAATTATAATCAATAATGAGAATAGTTGGCAACGATTCTCATCATCAATTAGTTGGGAGAGAGAGAGAATTTGTTAATACAACCAATCGATTAGTTGAAAAAATAATTGGGCAACTAATCGATTATGTTTATCGTATGATAATTGTTAGCTTGAGCCCTAACAATAACTAAAAAGTCCATTAACCCATCGCACTCCTGACTGCTTGTTCCACGAAAGAAAGGATGGGTGCTGCGGTAGTCAACGGGTGGCAACCGTTAAATGAATATGTAGAAACAAGGACACCGGCACTCCAATTGCAATTACTGTTTCTACTAACAATAACTAAGCCAGCCTTCTGAACTTCTACAACTCAACGCCTGAACTTCGCACAATGTAACATCTTCATTGCTTGTTGGAAGCAGTGCATGATGGGTATGTAGTCTTGAGAAATCGAGATTGCATCACATCAAGCAGCAAGGAAAGAGATGCAAAGCACAATGGACAGATGGAAGGCAGTGCTCACTACATAAAAGGGATTTTTTCAAGTAAGCTTTGATTGCATTATCAGAAACATCTCTAGTATGTATTCCTATTACAATGCTGATGTCATAACAGGAGAGGATAGGCTGGAACTTTAACATTTAACTGCACTGGAACATATTGGCAACATTTATAATTAGAGTTCAGTTGAACTTTATTATTGATGTTCTACAAGAAAAATATAACAATAAGTTAATGTGACACGCATATTTTTGGCTATCCTTTAAAGGTTGCTGCTGTAAAAAAAAAAAGTATTTCATTCAATTCTACTCTATACTTAGCTGATCATCCCGACAATCCCTCCATGTGTAACCAAGTAACAGATCTAGGTCATCTCCAGCCAATACAGCTGAATTTGCTGCAAATGCGTTTGGTTAAACTCAAGTGGCTCCTAGATGGGAGGGCGACATAGCATGTTATTAGGGCTTCAGTTGTCACACAGCATCCAGGCCTATTCCTGTCAATACTTAGCTCATGATTAGAGCAGCATTAGCATTTAGAATGTTACATGAAAGGAGAATTATTGAGAGTGTCCAGCAGTGGATTTTCTGTTAAATTATATCAAGTGCTTTGTTTCTTATGAATACATTGGCAGAGGTCAGTATCTCTTTTAAGGGGAAGCCATTGCGTATTTTCCGTAATCACACATTGGGAGTCATTAATGTAACGTTTGCTACAAAGTCATTTTTTGTGTGCAAGCTTCACATTTTTGCTTGCTGTTTCATATTGCCATGATTATAGTTTGTGGACATGTTTGTGGGTTCTCAGTAGGGATGCACCGATATCGAGTATGAGTACCGATTTTTACCGATATTTTTTTCCCGGTACTCGCCGATACCGAATACCGATACTGGAACTCCCATTAAGGAAGCCAATGTGTAATGACTCGCCACCCGGCTTCCCGATTAGCAGGGAAGCCGTCTCCATGCTCCCTCGTCGCTAGGTGATGAAGCATGGAGACGGCTTTCTGGCCAATCAGGAAGCCGGGGGGCATGTAATGACACACTTCCCGGCTTCCTGATTGGCCGGGAAGCCGGTGTAATGACGCCTTGCCCGGCTTTCTAAATGGTCAGGAAACTGACCAATCAGGAAGCCGGGCAAAGCGTCATTACATGGCGCCCGGCTTCCTGATTGGCCGGGAAGCCGGCTTCATGCACCCTCGTCACCTGGTGATGAGGTAGCATGGAGTCGGCTTCCTGGCCAATCAGGAAGTTGGGCAGCGTGTAATGACTCACTGCCTAAGTTCCTTATACTGGAAGCTCAAGTATCGGGCCAGGCATTGGAGCATATGGGCGAGTATGAGCACTCGCCCAAATACTAAGGACCGATACTGTGCTAGTGTCGGTATCAGTGCATCCCTAGTTCTCAGTGTAGTGGCTGTATAACAGGATGAGGAAGCATGATCAGCAGTCTTGCTGAACAACTGCCAAGATTAAGGCCCCATTCAGACCAGATCCGTTGCCATCCGCTGTGATCCACTTTTCAATGGATGGCAACGGAAGACAACACAAAAAAATGAATGGGTGTGAATGGGACCAGTTCACACCACTCCGTTCCGTTGCGTTACAGTGCGCTGAAATAAAAGTAGAGCTTGCTCTACCTCTTTTCAGTGCAGTGTAACAGAACATGTAAAAAAAGGGAAGGAGCAGTGCTCATATACTAACAACAATTGTGCTGATAGGGGAAGAAAGCATAGTGACAGGGAGATGAGCTCATCTGTCTGCTGCATCTCTTTTTACTATCCAGTCACAAGCTGGGGGAAGGGTGGGACCTGTAAATGCTACTTAATTGCAGCAGAGGAAACTCAGGTCTCCCACCCCACCAAGCAGGGATATTCTGTGTGAATAGATTAAAAAATGTAGTATAGTATTTATTTATTTTTTCAGGTCACATGTAAGGTAATTTTAATACCTTTTTATAACCACTAGATGGAGCAGAGGAGCATAGGAAATAAGCATATATTTTCTATATCCTTTGGCTCCATCTAGTGCCATCATGTATTACATTGCATTCAACCTCAAAAGAAAACATACTAAGAACTAGGTATATACTGATACTGGTATCGCTATCGGTGCCCAAAGAGTACTCGCCCAAATGCTCCGATACCTAACCCGATACTTGAGCTTCCGGTATCAGGAAGCCGGGCAGCGAGTTACACGCATTACACGCTGCCAGGGTTCCTGACTGGCCGCAAAGCAGGCTCCATGCTCCCTCATCACTTGTGACCCAGAGAGCATGAAGCTAGCTTCCCGGCCAATCAGGAAGCCAGGCGCCGCGTCATTCCATGGTGCCCGGCTTCCTGATTACCACCTAGTGACAAGAAGCATGGAGACGGCTTCCCTGCTAATGGGGAAGCTGGGTGGCGAGTCTTTACACGCTGACCGGCTTCCCGGCTAATCAGGAAGCCTGGTGGCCAGTCATTACACACCGCCTGGCTTCCTTAATGGGACTTCTGGTATCAGTATTTGGTATCGGCGTGTACCCAAAAAAAAATATCAGTACGCGTACTCGATACCGAAAAACTGGTATCGGTGTATCCCTACTAAGAACATTTGTTTTTGCCTCTATTCGCTCAGAATGAACGTTCAGATATTCACGGGGTCAATGGCTCTGCGAATTCCGTGTAAATAGGCCCCTTAGTGTTTGAATAGGAAGAGGGTTAAGTGTTAGGGGTCCCTGCAGACCCTAGAGATAATATATAGTGGAACTTCCTAAAAGGTTGTGGAACTATAGAGTGGTGGATAGGGACGATAATGGATTAATAACTAGGGGGAGACAAAAATACCGCTCTCAGTCAGAACTCTCGGTAGAGAAGGGAATAATATAGAGAGGGAGGGAGGGAGGATGGATTGGTGGAAAGGCTGTTATTTGTGAAAGATATGTTCATTGTGTAAGTATGGTGGTATTTATGGAAATTAATTGTAAAGTATATTGCTTGACTTCTGTTTTTTATGTGAAAAAATTGGAATAAAGAATTAATATATTTAATAAAAAAGTGTTAGGGGTCTGGTAGAGAGTTCAGAGTTAGTGATTGATTTGCTGATCCCTGACCATATACCGCAGTCACAATGTCTTACTTTTTATTGCCAGCTCGGGGCGGTGATAGAAGTAAACTATAAACTCCCACAGACTCTGGCCAAATAATATATACATCTCGGCTCTTCTTGTCTGGGAATACTGTGCTCCTGCAATTACTTTAAATTTCAAAGCGCTATTGATTTATACACAGACTGTACTTTCTGTAATATGAGCAGAACATCTCTAAGTAGACATAACAAAAATATCCAGTCACTTTGTCACTTTGTGGCAGCTGCCTGAGACACAGTGATTCAGGTATAGTGATTCATACATAAGGATGATGCCACATTGAGAAGAGGGAGTGGTTGATATTGCTAATAGCAGAACTCTATGAATAGCCCATTAAAAGGTAAAATAAGAATCCATTTTTTTCTGCAATATTCAGCTTCAGAGATTTCCCCTGAAGCATTTTTTTCTGCCACTAGATGTCCTCAGTGTGATGGCTAGCATCATTCAACCCACTTCCTTTGAGCCCAGGTCACC